CAAGAAGGAAAAGGAAAAAAAAAAAAAAAAGAAAATGTTTCTGTTTCGATTTCCTCTTCTTTGATTTCTTATGACTGCCATCCTCCGGTCAATTTTTTTTTTTATCCCTCCCAATGTGACAGTACTACAAGCGCTGTATAGTAGTAGTAGTTGTTGTTGTTGTTGTTTTTTTTTTTTCTAATTAAGTTTTACAAAAAAGAATGTTTTTATATTTTTTAAAGAAAAGACTGTGACACGGAGATGTGCCATCATCTGCAGAGTCGTTCTGTACGAACAGTTCGGAAAGGAGATAGGACACACACACACATGACATAACATGTTCTAAATCCTTGACCACATTAAAAGGCTCCTTGACTTTTTGGGATTTTTTTTTTTTTTTTTTTTTTTAAAAAGTTTGATTTGAAGCTTTGACAAATAATAATAAAAGAAAATATGACCAGCGTTTGAAAAAACAAAACAAAACAAAACAAAAAAAAAGTGACGGAATGCGTGTCCACTGCGCTAGCTGTCAAACACACAAACCAGTGCATTGACTTATCATAGCATTGACATTATTGTGATAACCTGAACAGTGATATCTTAGCTAACCACAGATGAACTCATGAAAATGAATAGCACTGTCATACACTCACTGGCCACTTTATTAAGCACACCTATCCTAACAGCCAATGGCATGACAGCATTACAAAGCATGTCCGGATGCAGAGCCAATGGGAGAGATGGGCTACTGGCATTCCGATTGGGCTGGGAGACCTAAAACTGCTGAGCCACTGGGACTATTTGTACATGTATATAAATGGTACCATTGGTACATGGAGGAACAGGAGACGGGGTTTATGGAAGGTGTTTTTTTTTGTTTTTGTTTTTTTTTGCAGCAATTGCATCACAACGCTGTTACGTCAGTCCGGGACCAACCTTTTAGCACAGCGACGTCCCTAATGAAATGAGCAGTTAGTGTAAACACTACAATGCTGCTTGACTCGTTAATGTAAATGAGTGCACAGTTTTAGATGAACAATTGCAACAAGCGTTACGGTAAGAAAAAAGTCAAAATCAACACTGTAAAACACTGATTTTTGAACTGTGAGTTTAGAGTGAGTTTTCCGAAGAGCAGTGACCGGAGCTCGTGTTCTTACACGGAAAATCTACACGATTCGCGTTCAATACGGAACAACGAGGCCGCCGCCTAGTGGCTGACTTATGGAAGTGAACTATATGGTCTGTGGATATAGATCACTTTGTTTGGTGAAATAGAATCTGTTACGCTCACTGTCATTAACTTTTTATTCTTCATCTTTTCTATTGTTTGCACTAAAAAATAAACTTAAGCGGAAGATGTTGTTAGTTTTTTTTTGTTGCATTTACATGTATGGCTTACATATGTCCATTTTGTCTAAAGATTTTCTCATCTCTCGGCTAACTCTCCCTTTTGGCTATTTTGTTATATGTGAGGATGAAAAATGTTACTAATTTATATGTCATCAGCAACAAAAAAAAGTGAAATCAAATTATTAATACAAATGTATAATTTTTAAGTGAAATCTAAAAAGGTCAAATAAAATTATTATAAAACAAATTTTTATTCAATTCCCCAGTTAATTATAGAGGACCGAAAGTGCCCACATTAAATAATTACATCATTAAATGATTTAATGATTTACTTTAATATATAATAAATTAAATTCATTGATTACTCAAACGTGTCAAGTTTTTTTTTTGTAAAAAAACCCCCAATTATTTCACAATTTAATTATTTTATGGTCCTGCGTCGCAGTGCATCATGAATGCAATTAATTAATGAAACATTTTATTATTTGATGATTTGATTTGTATTTACTTATTTAATGTTGCACTTTTAGTCCTCTATATTTAACAGATCGTCCGTACGTTCCGTGAATTAGTCATTACGTGATCAACACTGGCCGCTTCCACATTTCTTCGCCGAAGTTACAAGGCGACAGTCCCTAAACCCGGTTTTACGCTAGCGAAGTTAGCGACGGTCCCTGTATTTTCTGATGAAATCTCTAAGCGGAACCGACGCGGCGTATGAAGCTAAAAACTTTTGGAGCAGAAACCGAGTAATGGTGAACCAGCGTCGCTTAGATAAGACAGTTACAGTATCTTCACGGAACCAAAGGGACATCAAGACTCGGACTGGACACCGATATTTCGAATTTACACTAGAAATTCACCAGAGAAACCGCCACTGCGAACTGCTGCTAAAGGCTAAGCTAACGTAAGATAATCCGGACTCTGGCCTTCCAGGACTACATGATCGAAAGTGATCTAAATGGCTTCTCTGTCCTCGGATCATGTTTCTCTCTTCTGGTCGTCCTTATGCAGCTCCATGTTTACCGACCTGTCCCCTCAGAATAACTTCAAGCAGCAAGGCTGTCAGGCAGGTGGCGACGGCGCGCAGGGCGCCGCGTACGGCGGTCCCCTCCCCAGGATTGTCCCGGTGTGTGGAGACGACGGTGTGCAACATTCTGATTAAAACTTTTCTGTGTCCCTGCAAAAACTCAATTTTACTGATAGGACCCGTCGCGACCCACGGTCACGGTGGTGGCCGGTGTACACCCGGTAGTAGTTGCGGTTGACAGCTGTCACAGACGTGGCCCGGACTCTGTTATATAATTGAGTGTGTTTTAGTCCCAGTCTGCATTTGATTGCACTTTGATTCGAGAGCAATGTTCAGGAATTTGACCGGTGACGGACATGTAACCGGCGCAGGACAGAGACCGTCCTGCGCCGGAAAAGGAGTCTCTTCAGCGGTCTCGGAGAGTCAAGAAAGCCCGTGGATCGGTCTGTTCTCCTTGGTTTCTAGGCCCGCGCTGTCACTGCTCCATAAATATCTGCCGGGTCAAGCCCGACAGACATGTCGGCCAGAGCCGGGCGCCCGTTTAATGAGTGCAGGGTCTCAGCGCAGCGTCGTGGACGAAGACAGGACATTGTTAAAGCAGCTGGACGCCTTACTGTCTCCACAACACGTGGCTCCGCAACTCACCGTGCTTCGTTGTGAACATGGCGGAACGGCGGTGCCATGGCTCAGCGGTGTCGATACAATGCGGGACCTGGGGATTGAAAGCGTTGAAGAAATTGAAATCAAGTTCCAGGAGAACCAGAGCAGGATTGTGTCCTCAGCCAAATCTTTTCTGACTCAGGCTCTGCTGAACTCTGTGGCCCAGGAGACCAGACCATCAGTGGGTATGGACTGGCTCAAAGTGAGGACAGGTGAGAGCAGGACACGGTGGAGCAGTATTTGGGCTGGAGAGGAGAACTCGAGGCCAGAACATTTGGCCAAAACTGAGGGCAGGACAGGGACAGAGTTAGTCTGTCCTCAACAACAACTCTGGACAAAGACAAAAGACCGAAGAGTTGCGTTTGTAGGAGAAAACACTGGAGTCAGTGACAACAATGCCTCACAGTGTCACAATGACACTGACACCGACGGGGTGCAGAACCCAGAGAGATCGATGGCAGAGGAGCTGCTCCAAATCAGCGGTAGGATCACTTCAGAGCCGGACAATGGTTACTCCAGTCTGGAGGACGACCTTATTCTGATGAGCCGCCTACTGACCGCCACGCGAGAGGCGAAGCCATGCCAACTCCGTGATGATCATAACACAAACTTGGAGGAAAAGTGCTGTCAGGGCGAGACGTCTTCGTCAGCAAATGCAGATGAAAAAGACGAGCAGGAACAGGAAGAAGGTCCTGCAGAGTTGGTGAGTGTAACAGTGGGCCCCGCCCCTCAGTGTCAGAACAAGGCTATTGCCTTCATCATGGGCTGTCCCTGCAGTGATGAAGATGACGACAGCAGCACCCAATCAGACAACAGTGACTCCAGCGACGAAGACGAAGACGACGACGACGACGGCTTCGACAGCGAGGGCTCGTCTGAGCTGTCCAGCTCTTCGGACGAAGATGACGAGGACTCATCTGGTTCCGACAAGGAGCAGGAGTCGGAGGCAGACCGCCTCTGGGAC